ACCTGGGTGGAGAGAGGCACTGTGAGAGTAAAGTGTCTTGCCCAAGAACACAACACAATGTCCCCGGCCAGGGCTCAAATCCCAAACTCGATCCACAGATGAGAGCACTAACCACGAGGCCATCGAGCTTCTCCAGTGGTTAGAGTGCCATATGGGTATCTGGGAGCTCATGGATTTGAATCCTGTCAGGGACTCAATTTTTCTTTTTTTGTCCCATGCTCATGGCAACATCTCTTCTTTGTCGATGGTATGACATGTTCTTTTGCAGGGAATTTAGGTTGTGTAATAAATAACTGTAACAGAATAGCATCCCATAGAGGAGAAGTAGCATAACTTGTAGTTGCATCACAAACAGGAATAAACTCCCTTAGTGTGCACTAAATGTATTTTGACTCACAGAGAGAAGACAGAAAAAGACCATGAATACTTTATCTACCTACACGAAGATTCCATTTAGTGAGGGTTCAATGAACAAATAATTTTTCTGAAATACTTACTGCAACGCAAAGTCTTGTCAGAACAATTCTTGGCCCAGATGAAAGCATGAAAATGTGCTTGAACAGTTCTGAGCGTAGATCATTGTAGTGTTCTTCTTGTAGCTCATTCCTGTATTTCAGCAAGACGTTATTGAAGGATATTAAGCAATCAAGAACAGAAGCTGCTTCTGCTGTTTCTTCCAGTAGGAACCAAACCTATGACCTCTGACATTCTGCACAACAGTCATACACTAGCCCAAGCCTCACCCACTTTCAATATTGTAACCCTGCAGCGGTCTCAGGTTAAAGCCTGTTTCCTTAGATTTGCTTACTATTTTTGAGGGCTTTACTTCATGTACATTGAACGAGAACCAGGTGGTCAAGGGGTTTCAATGTGGGTTAGAGTTGCTATAGAGATGAAACTTTCAAGCACATTTGTTATTAATAGAGGACTACATGTACTTATAAAAGATACAAGATTTCTAACTGTTTAAATACTTGGGTCTATTTTGTTAAACTAAGAGAAACAACTTAAGAAAATATTAATTTAAATACACTTACCAGTTCTTAGAAATCTTGAAGTGAAGCATTGAAGCACCAAAAAACTGAATTTCAGGAGGCTTAAAAAAAAAAAGAGAAAAGAGACATTTATGAAGGCACATTTGTCTTTGAAAAATATTCATTTGCCACCTTCTCTACAACCGGATATACATCATGTATAGAAGGGTTCTGGCAAATTTAATGCTGGGCGATATAGTATCCTATCCAGGGGGGGTGTAGAAATAGGCCAAGTCATTTCATCCAACGAACACCAGACATGAGTGCTGGCCTGATGGGCCACCTGTAGCATTGAATGTCGATGTCACTTTAGTCTACTTTTTTTTAATTCTAAGTTTTATTTTTGGTACTAAAATTTATAAGATGATCATCTATTTATATACCTTAGTTTTTCAAAAAAAGGCTTGTCTTGTTTTGTAGCAAGTGTAAGTTCAATATGTTTATTTTGTAAGCTTTTTAACTATTTTTTCAATGTCTGTAAGTACATTGAGCACCAATAAATACACTCAAAAGAGGATTTTATTATGTTTATTTCTAAAATAGGCTATTAAAAATCTAAGTTTGCTATAACAATTCACACCTTGTCACTTTGCATGAGTCGCCAACACAGTTGCCAAGCATGTTGTGATTTCTGTGTGGCCAGTAACCATTTGTGAGCGGTGTCTCTGTTTGCATGATCCTGTCCACTATACAGTGTAAATAATGCCTGCAGGTAATAATAAAAGTACATCCAATGAATGCCAGACATAACATGCACATCAAGTGTAAATTATTCCTAAATATTTCAAACGTAATTATTAGACCTTTTATCATCAAGAAATCTTATTATTTGTGAATCTAAACTGATGTTCTCTAAGCCATAATTATGTGTACTAGGTAAAACTTGCAAAAATAGTTCAAAATGTAAAGTACAGTGAAAACCCACCTTACAGCTATCCCATTAATATGGCCACCTTGTTATCGTGGCCACTTTATTCTGGCCCAAACCAAAAGCTCAGTCAGTCATTTTTGTATTTAACGAACCCCTTTAATACGGCCACCCTATTAATACTGCAACCCCATTAATATGGCCAGATTTTTGTGGCCTATTGGTGAGTGGATTAACAGGGTTGCTACTGTACATGTATATGAATTTCTCAAACTCATTAATAATATTCATCAAGTTTAATCAAAGGAAATCATGACTGTGAAGGTGTTTGGATATCTGATCTTAATTGGCATAGATTTTTACGATTTTATTTCTCCACTTTCTCCTCAGTTTTAGTTCGATTGAGAAGATATGTCAAACTCTCAAGACAGTGTTTGACCACATTTCCAAACACCTCAAAGTTCATCAAATATACTCCGCTACGTGTAGTATTTTCAACTCTATTCTCAGTTTTTGGAAATGTGGTCAAACACGGTCTTTCGTGTTTGATATATTATGTAAAGATAGCTGAATTCAGGAAAAATGGCCTAGCTGAACATGAGTTTCTCTGTAACTCAGTGATAAGAACTCCCAAGCAGTACAGTGTATGTCTGAGATCATGGGTTTGAATCCCATCCGGGACTCAAAATTTTTTCCCACACTCGCAACATGCTGAACATTACATTCATCTTTCAGATGGGTATGAAATGTATGAAAAATTGAGATGTGGGGAAAAAATACCCCTTTTTCGTATTGTTAGTGCTGAAAAAGACCCTCTGATAATGTATGTGTCCAATTTACCTTCTCCCTAAAACCACCAAGAAAAATGTATTTGAACATTCAAAAAAGAAAAAGAATTGTACTGTGGTTGCAAAGAAGTAATAAGATGGGGGTATTTTTTGGCTATGCAATGGTATGGGTCTACTGAAAATTAAGCCACAGTAGATAATGCAATTGAATATATGAAAGATCATATATTTGAACTGTGGAGAGAGCTGTGAAAACACACAAATGACCATCGCAGTTATGNTGGTGAGTGGATTAACAGGGTTGCTACTGTACATGTATATGAATTTCTCAAACTCATTAATAATATTCATCAAGTTTAATCAAAGGAAATCATGACTGTGAAGGTGTTTGGATATCTGATCTTAATTGGCATAGATTTTTACGATTTTATTTCTCCACTTTCTCCTCAGTTTTAGTTCGATTGAGAAGATATGTCAAACTCTCAAGACAGTGTTTGACCACATTTCCAAACACCTCGAAGTTCATCAAATATACTCCGCTACGTGTAGTATTTTCAACCCTATTCTCAGTGTTTGGAAATGTGGTCAAACACGGTCTTTTGTGTTTGATATATTACATAAAGATAGCTGAATTCAGGAAAAATGGCCTAGCTGAAAATGAGTTTCTCTGTAGCTCAGTGGTAAGAACACCCAAGCAGTACAGTGTATGTCTGAGATCATGGGTTTGAATCCCATCCGGGACTCAAAATTTTTTTCCCACACTCGCAACATGCTGAACATTACATTCATCTTTCAGATGGGTGTGAAATGTATGAAAAATTGAAATGTGGGGGGAAAAAAACCCGTTTTTCATATTGTTGGTGCTGAAAAAGACCCTCTGATAATGTACATGTCCAATTTACCTTCTCCCTAAAACCACCAAGAAAAATGTATTTGAACTTTCGAAAAAGAAAAAGAATTGTACTGTGGTTGCAAAGAAGTAATAAGTTGAGGGTATTTTTTGGCTATGTAATGGTATGGGTCTACTGAAAATTAAGCCACAGTAGATAATGCAATTGAATATATGAAAGATCATATATTTGAACTGTGGAGAGAGCTGTGAAAACACACAAATGACCATCGCAGTTATGAACACACTTCAAGCAGTTGTGAAATTAAAGCCTGGAAAAAAAATTCAGGCTTGAATTAGCTTTGCACAAATGTCACTGTCAAAGAAAGCAGAGAGAAGAGAAAGGGGCATTTTGAAAACTATCTGCAGATATCAACTTTTATTTGCGGATAAAAATAAACTAATTTCCTGCAGTCAGAGCATAATAAAATATTTTTGATTTTATATTTGTGGAGATATTCTTATCGTTAACAACACCAAGATTTACGCGCAGAAAATGAGTAAGCTTACATTCCAAACAGATTGAGTTTGAAAACTTCTAATCTTGTCTATTCCGCGTTCGATCGCAATTTCTAAAATCTAAATCCGCTACGATACGTAAGCTCGTAAACTTGCCTGTTCGCATTGAAACAGTAACGCCTGAAGTTCCTCTTCGCCGAAGTTCATCTTCCTTTACTCTACAGCAGAATCTTTGATGTGGTTTATTTTTTATCCGTACTCCATGATAACATGCTCTCTTTAATCGCTCTTAATCACTTTGAACTCGACCTGTCAAACTTCCGCCGCCATCTTTGATCTCTATGCGCAAATACCGTGACGCATCCTTTCATGAATATTACCGATGACCTATGCAATTGGGAGGCTCAAAATAGTTTAGTTACCAGTCCTCTGCAGTACTGCAACTCCGCTTGAAACAGTCATCAGCTGACTATCAGGACAAATTTTACCGGGTTGTCGGGAGAATTGTATTGCGAACACCTGAAAATCGCAATTTTGTACATCCAGTTTCGTTATGCTGCAAGAACACTGCAATGTTTGAAAAAAGCATGGATTCTGAGGTAGGTAGTAATAGGGGAGGGGAGGGTGCTACTAGGTTTGTCATGGCAAAATCATTTAATGAAGGGGCTGATTTTCTCTAATCTGCTATATCAAATCCTTGTGGGGTTTTGATGGATCTCTGGTTAATGTTTATATGCAGAGATCACATAGTCAACATAATTCTGTATTTACAGAATGTGCCACACCCATAAAATGAACCAGTTACATTACTTTTACCTGCTTTTACCTGTGCTTGGGGGGTTTCTCCATCAGGTGAGATTAACAACGCTCAAAGCTGTCACATACCAGATTTATCAGAGTTTTAAAACCTGACATTTTTAACAAACTTGGCTACTTGCCTTACGTACAAAAATGACAGCAATGGTGCCAGGTTTTAGTATGTCCAAGTCAGTGGGAGACCAACTTCCCCATTGGAACAAGTGGGCGTTCATGTACTTCCTGGGTTGTTTGTAAACAGTAGGAGGTTCAAAAATTGAAAACCAGAGACTGGTTTAGGGGAAAAAAAACCTGTTATGGGGTATTTAAAACACCTTGAACAGTAGAGTGTTATGGCAAAACTATATCAGAAGGTTGTCCAAGTGAAACATTGCTCAATTAACAACCAAAACCATATTTGAAAGAAGTTGCGTTTTGTATGGCAGGCAAGTGATGGGGTTAAATTTGCCACAAAATGTAAAGAACAGAAGAGAGGGTGAAAGTTACTAAATGTAAAACGGGAGCCACCAAGCATTCAAATTTGATCATTAAAGCTGACACAGTAACTAATGTATTTGAAACTTTCTGAGAGTTTTCAAATCAAATATCCCTTCTCTGAGTCTGAGACTTCCTTAGTTTTAAAAAATATACCATGACCACAAGAGAGCATTACAAAAACCAAATCCAATCTGCCAAGACCGGTGAAATTTGGTTTAAGTTCTGTGAGATACATACTATTTTTGGAAGGCGCATTTAGACCAACCCTTGGTACACGTGAGTAATGCGTAACATGCATTTCAATGTGTAACATGCATTACATTTTTAACTAAGGACGCTCACAAACAAAATAATGTTAGTAGTAGTACAAAGTAGTGCAAGTGTGAAAGCCACAAATTGGAAACATCATGAAAAAAACATCATTTGAAAACATTAAATTCATTATGTAAAGAATACAATGTACACAAAGGAAACACTCTAAGCAAGATCTTCCAAGTTAAATAAAACATGGTAAACTAGTAATAAACACACATTCTAACCATTTTGCCATTAAACAGCAGCCATAAAGACTTCTGTATGTATTTTTAGCAGTAGAGTAGACAAAATTAGTTTCCTTTAAGAACCACAAGTAGCTACAGTGTATTATTCATCTTATGGTATCGCTACCAATCAAGTGATCTTTTTGAGGATCATTTTTATTAGTAATGGATCATGTAAATAATGCACTGCCAAAATTAAAAATATGAGAATTATTAGAATTAAACATGATTATGATACAGAAATAATTTTGCAGCCTGCAGGTAAGAAATTATTTCATTCGACTGCTGAAAACCTCACAGCGTAAGTTAAATGTGGGTAGGAATAAAACTCATGGATTACAAACTCAGCAATACTAGTAGTCACAATTTGTTGATTGAAAAATCAAAATGATACAAATTTTGTAATTTTGTAAAACCTGACTTTTTTCACTCTGATAAATTTAATCTTTCAAGGTTATAAAACCACTATGCTATTCTCATTTTCATAAATCCATTATCCATTATTTTGGCATTCTTTCTCAAAAGTGAAAGCCAGTATAGTGTAAATTCAACACACAAAATTAATCTCCATAGAGAAACTGTTTACTTAGATACAGTATACAACATGTCATTTTCAAATGTAGTAAGGTACAACAAACAATACACTCAAATATTTCCTTCCCATTAGGTACAAACAGTGCTACATTTCAATAACAAGTGATTGAACGGATGAAAACCTACCCAATAAACATTTGTGAAAAATATTTGTAGCTTTCTTCGGGCCTACAGGAGCCACACATGTGACCTCAAAGTTATCAACTTTAAAATGAAAATCAAATTTCTCGAGTTGGAATAATTTAACCATGCGTACGCCCAAATAATTATAATACATTTTGAATAGTATTAAAATGTTGTAAAACAAGATCTCAAGCAGCTCTGAAACTGTACAAATAAAAACTAGTTAGAACTGCTTTACTTCCGACCATATACATATATATATACATAACTACGCTACGTGTTTACATATATTTTCATAAAAATCTTTACAATTGAAATTGTGTTTGCTAAAATTGTGGAGAATGTGTTAGAAGAAACAAACTTTACATTCACTGATTACAACGCGAAATTTTCCAACAGGCAAGAAATATTTCGTCAGTTCTTCATCTATACATGAATCATGGTTTCTATATAAAAACATTTTAAGAAAGCTCTTAAATGTGTTTAAGTCTGATATTTATCTCGCCTATCATGGCGGTCTCCTGTTGTATATATATAACATGACACTCAATATTTTTGATACTCCTAAAAATCTTTCACTCCTGAAGTTCGTCACGATTAATAAAATTGCGATCCCTTCAATGAAAGGGTAAAAATATGTAAAAAGAAGTCCTTACAAGACTAAAAATTTCGAAAACCACCAAAAGGTTCAAGGTTGTTTGAGACTAAAGTTTTTTTTTTTTAGATAAGCTAAATTTTGTTAGTCACAAAGTTTCACCTGTATTTAAAATCCACGTGTAAAACCGATCACCTAAACCCAGCGCTCATGCATTCTGAACCTATCTCTGATATGCGGCCTTACGTCGTCTTTTCGTGTTGCAATCATCTCCAAGAAGGGAAGAAGTTCGAGAAGCTCTCGATCGGCCTGATCCACAAACCAGCTTTCAATAGGAATGCCATTAAATATTTGGTAAGCGAACGCTTGAGGTGAATTATCCACAATCATTGTCTTAGCTAAGTCCCTACCGAGAATATTCAAATCTTTAATGTAGTTCCCCTGCACACAAACACAGTGTTCGCGGAAGAGACGATGTCGAAAATATTTTCGCCCGGGATCCAAGATATTCAATAACTTGTCCGCGTAGACTTTCTTCGAGGCAGTGAAAAGGATAACCTCGAACATACTGGCCACTCGCTCGAGAAAGCGCTTTAAATGTGGCCTGGTTCGGACGAACACTTGATAGCAGATGTCTTGGTAGAGAACAGGAAACGACAAATTGGCATCTTCCAGTTTGTTAAGACTGCAGTGGACAAGTGTCTCGTCGAGATCGAGCACGAGGCAAAATTCCGGTGTGCTCCGTGTTTGTAAAGGTAAAACAGGGCCGCGACTCTTGCCATCTTCGCCTTCCCCTGGTGGAGGAAGGTTCCGAATGAAATAAAACGGATCATCAACTTCCCACTCACACTCAGAATATGAAGATTCCGGAATATCATCACCAACATTTCCATTTACGTCGCCGTTCGATGCGGCTAAAGCGCCCTTATTCACGGTCGATGAACTCTGGTGCCATTGAGTGTTTTCTTCGCCATAAGTCGCGCCACAAATCCGAGATCCACTTGTTGTCGAATTAGCTGAAACTAGTTGTCCTTCCTTTCCGACCGGTTGGATGTGACCATTCTTTCCGAAGAAAGTAAAAACCGGCGAGAACAACGTTCCAAGGAGCGATTTGCGCTTTGAGGGTTCCCCGTCGGTAATGGACTTCGTAGTAACAGAATTTACAACCGTTGTCTCGGTAGTAAATTTTCGTTTCTTGAGGAGATTTGAAGTGATTATCGCGTCTTCCTCATCTTCGCTATCAGAGTCGGACCGTTTGCGTTTCGCAGGGCGATCTTTCTCGTTATCTTTCGACGGCGACCAAAGGAAAGTTTTGATTGAACTCAACAGATTCCTTCCTGAAGAAATCGCGGGGCTTTCACTGCACTGAAGGTTCGCCGCTTCACCGTTGGCCGCGGCATCCTCCATCTCTCGTGGATCACTTTTCAAATTGTCTCTCTGTGATGGCATACTCACGCGCGATTCGATCTCAGAAAACGCCGGAACTTCAGGAGAAGTCTCCCAAAGTAAATACCCAAATAAAAACTTTGAAAACAGCCAAGTGGTAAAAGCCCCAAACGTTCTACATGTATTTGCTATGCGCTCACTGTGTGCATGGCATCGTAAACGATCTGCCTCAATGACAACCTCTGACACTGTGTCCTGGTTGGATGGTTGAATGCACATTTCATGCAAATATCCGTGAAAACAACTCCGACATTTGCATACAACCCAGTTTCGCGCGCTCAACAAAAGCGTACTGAAACAAAGCTTACTGTAAAAATATTTGCACCTGAACAGTCTTTAAATAGACTATAGTGACTTCCGTTGATTGAAAATCTGTTTTTCTGTCATAATTTCAGTTCTCGACTGGGAGGCAAATTCACCGGAAGTGCAAAAAAACGTCGAATTCAATTTGGATTTTTCACACCCCAAAAATTACTACAATGTTGTCTTATAATTACATCTCTTCTTATCCTTCTATTCATAAATAGCTTAGAAAAATGGCTTTGATAATTTTTTCATGTCTGTGGTATGATAGTAAACCAATTAGTACAATGTTATACAATATTATAGCTCACGCTTTCATTCAGCAGTTTTAAGTGCTTAATTTTATACCTACCGTGACAAGAAATGCAGACTTCATGGTTTTCGTATGAGAACCCTAAGCACAAAAATTTCCTTCAAATTTGATTTCTACCCCTTGGCCAGAATTATCGACCCATCCCTCCCGTCCCTTAGCATCTTTGGCGTGGTCTCATAGTTCTCCGACTTGGTAGGCTCGATTACCAGCCGCTGTTCGGGAAAGGAGCCCGCGCTCCTCCCCCGAACTCACGGCTGGATTCGTGGACTTGGCATTGTTAATTTCAACCAATAAGAAATCTACCTGCCTGAATAAATTAGCTTTCTCGCAGTAGCAAAGAAGTTGTGCGATATGGAGTGCGATCGCATTAGTGGGACATTTAACCAAATAGCGTCAACCGATGAAATCTTGCCTGATCTAAACCATAGTGGCATATAAGCTCATATACAACATGCAAAATAGTCAACAGACTCATGCGTTAGAATCTATATTTGAATCATGTGGAGCCAGAATGTCAGATAACGAACAAAGTCAACAAAGAGAGGGATAAACGCAAACATCGATCTCAAGAAAAAAAACACTCAGTCAAATTGATGTGTACGGTAGTCTTGTTGAAGGGAAGCGACACCAGTCTTTGGTAAAGCCAGACAAAATGAGCCAAAGCAAACCGAACTAGCAAAACGTAAACATGGTGTCAACACCATGCGCACCTTTGACATGACAGTTGCTACACCAGAGTCAAACAGCTCTGCTCCACTTTTTTTTTTTAAAAAACTCTTCTATAGAACACAACATGTAATGCCCTTCCGCAACAATAATGTGAAAAAAAATAGGTTGGAGGGCCAAAATTAAAAGAAGACTTGGCGAAAACGCCACAAATTTTACGAGCCGTTGGCGTCATTTGGGCCTGCCTATGATTGTCATCAGATGACATTTCCGGCCACCTGAAGCGCCGCAAGAATTGAATTATGAATTTACGTCACAGACATGCTTTGCCGCTCACGCGTCCAGCCTTCTCTTTTCGGGGAGGAACGTAGACCGGACTCGAGAAAGCGGCGGAAATCGAGCCTACCGACTTGGGAGATAGTGTTACTTTGAGTAATTCAGAACAAACAAAGGTTCCAGGTGCTCAAAGGCGGGAGAGCGGCAAGTAAAAATGGGCATAAAACTAAGCGGCTTGTTCAAAAAACACACTGTATGTGTTAGCTAGTAAACCGGGACCGGCCGTGGACAGCACGCTTTAGCACGGTGCACTATGTTCGTTCAAGATATGGGCCCCAAAATGGGCCCCAGAAGGGTCAAACGGGCCCAGTATGGTGGAGGCAAAGCGGCCGAGAAAGATAAAGTCCCCTACCCGAAGTAGACACTGCTTAAACAATACTTTGAACAAGACATTCTAGCATTATTTGGTATACAAGGAAGGATTCCAAGATCCGAGAAACAAACCACGTAAAGTTTAACGGGTAAGCTCTTGGCACAGAGTTACTCAAGATTGTCGACAGATTTTAAAAGGTAAAAGTAGAGACAAGGTGAAAATGTCTACTTCAATTCCCTTATATTTTGCAGATTTAATAAAAAGAACTCTTTTATGTCCCAGTTAGATGCGATAACTTTTGTAATCTTGGAATCAAAAGAAGTTTCAAAATTTAATGAATAGAAAATGCAAGTGGGCGTTACTATTTTAAGGGGCTTGGGAACAACATATATTTTTGGGATAAATTTGAGGGAGCAAAGAATATCTCTACTATGAAAGGGAACGTTGCCGAATTTTAAAGGGAATAATGGAATTTATTAATAGGGCACAAGCGAGAAATTTTCCAGGGATCAATGATTTGTAGCTCCCATTTTAAAGAACACGGACTCTTTTGCTTGGGATTGAAAGGGAGAAACCATCAGAGATGAGAGTTATGCTATATTCAAACAGCGACTGTGGAAGGTAGCAGAAGCTCGGGACTAAGTAATGAGGTCACTTCGGCTTCATTAGCTCCCGATACACGGGTAG